TTGCTCTTAGGGTAACACCAAATTATAATCTTGCCCCGTAGTTTTTTCACTTTTTTTTCTTCTTTACATATTTGGTGTATATGGTAAAATTGATTTTTAATATATGATCAAATGGTAGCATGATATGTGGAATCGAAGATAAGTAAAAGGCGAATCAAGTAACAATCAACACCGGGAACAACAATCACTGTTGACATCGGATAAACCCCGAAGGTAGCACAGTTAACGAGAGCTGGTCGAATATTTGCCATCGGATAGCATTCACTGAAGGATATTCTCTAACATTAAATGGCAGTCACTGCAGAGAATATTTGTATTCATGGCCCGTATTACATATTCATCAATGGTGCCTATATTGACATTTAAGGGGGTTTGATCCTGGGATCTTGTTTTCCTAGGTATAGTTATAAATAGCAGGCTCAGTAGCCATTGTAAGGGACGAAATTCTTGGCAAAACTTATGTTGTATTCCATTTTCGCTCTTAATTAAACAACTTTATTTGCTCTTTTATATTGCTTTCATTTCTATCCTCGGAGACACTGCTCGGAGCAAGGCTTGTCATTTTCTTCAATTTCATTTGCTAAGTCTTACCTTTAATCTCATTTATTTATCATTTTTGGATTAAATCAGTTTGTTTGTCTATAAACCACATAACAAATTCAAGTGTATTATTTTACGGGTAAACATTTGGTATCTGAAACTCATTGACGTACATACTAATTCAGATTTATACCGCATATAGCGCTTGCTGAAAGGGGAAATGTTCTTTACTAGAAGTCCTTCAATTTCCAAGGCTCATCCAGAGTGATCGGTAGTTTCTACTTCAATACTCCCTTTGTTTTAATTTATATGGCTAAACACGACGTTTAAAGAAAAAAAGAAGACTTTTAAATTTTGTAGTCTTAAATTTGTCACATTATTTGTGTGACTATAATTTTTGAAACTTGTGATCTTTAACATGTCATAATATATGTGTGTGGTTATAAAAATTTATCTGTCGTTTCAGGGTAGGGCTAAGGCTGCGTACATCTTATCATCCCAGACTCCACTTGTGAGAAATCACCGAGTTTGTTGTTGTTGTTTTTATAAAAACTTATCATTAAGATTCAAATAGAAAATGTGTCTTTTTTTTTTCTTTTTTTTTGTGATGCACTAACAATTATAATACTATCATTTTTTTTGGAAAAGTAAAGGTATCTCAAAGTAAACAGATAAAAGGGAATTCAAAGCTGCTTATTAACTTCAGATTGACCAATGGACTTGTATTAGTAAAGCATGTTAATAGTACAGTTACTTTTATGTTTTAAGTGCCATGATATATAGATTCACAGGTGCTGGTTATATAGCAGTAGTCCAGCTTAACCTAGTGAGAGATTTTGGATTCTTTATACATATATTAGGGGTCTAAAAATTTAGGTTTAGTCCCATAAGTATGAAAAAAAGTGTATAGTGTTGACCTGCCAATAGAGTTGCCATTTTTTTGCTGCTTTCATTCAGACACTGAACCCTATATATAGCTATTTCTACTTTAATTTACACAGAGATTATATTATAGACTAGCTGAGGAACTTGATAAATTAAATCTCATCTCCTTGTTCAAAATCATATGCAGCTTTTGGCCGTGTTGCTTTTTTGTTTTACTCTGCATATTGTTCCCAACTAGCCTAACTTCAATTTGGTAATTCTTGGGTGCATAAACCACCCTTAAAATGAATAGTTGAAAACCCTATGTAATAGAGAGTTTAGCTTTGAAAAAAACAAGAAAGAAATTGATAACTTTAGCTGTAATTACAGATATTTAAATTTGTAATTTATTAATCCATGAAATTTATTAGAATAAATGAAAAAGTTGTGGTGAGGATTAACTATTAGTACTACTAAGTAATACTATCTCACTAGTGCTCCCTATATTTGTGCAAGGTTCTATATATCTTTATCAATTTTTTGGCTTACGAAGAATTAACTAAATGGTCGTCTACTTAACCGCTTAAACTAAAAGTGGCCGGTGCAAATGTATATTTATATTATAATTCATATATATATATATATATATATATATATCGATTAAAAAAAATAAACAGTTAATCTGGCCAACTATTTGCATAAAGACCCCAACTTTTTTTTTTCTCTCTAATCCCACCACCTTTCCACCCGCGAAAAAAGTAAGAAGAGTCTTGGCGATCCATGAAAATTCAGGTTTTTAAGGTGCAATTTATCTTATTTTTAGTCTAATTTTTTTATGTCTGGTATACTTTTTGCTGTTGTTATTTACTCCCTCCGGTTTACTTTTTCATTTTGGTTCAAAATAAGTGTCCAGTTATGTAATCAAGAAAGAATTCAATTTGTTTTTACAAAATAACCCCTATGTACATATCCCTAAAAAGTTTTCTTACTCCTCACATTAAATATTTAACTAGGGGTAGTTTAGTCATAGTAGGTATTTTTGTATAGAATTTAGTATTTCCTTAATGGGCGTGCTAAAAGTAAATTGGACACTTATTATGAACCGGAGGGAGTATGTGATTTGACGAGACTTTCTTTAAGTCTCTAATTAATTCCCCCCCCCCCCCCCCCCCCCCCCCCCCCCCCCCCCCCCCCCCCCCCCCCCCCCCCCCCCCCCCCCCCCCCCCCCCCCCCCCCCCCCCCCCCCCCCCCCCCCCCCCCCCCCCCCCCCCCCCCCCCCCCCCCCCCCCCCCCCCCCCCCCCCCCCCCCCCCCCCCCCCCCCCCCCCCCCCCCCCCCCCCCCCCCCCCCCCCCCCCCCCCCCCCCCCCCCCCCCCCCCCCCCCCCCCCCCCCCCCCCCCCCCCCCCCCCCCCCCCCCCCCCCCCCCCCCCCCCCCCCCCCCCCCCCCCCCCCCCCCCCCCCCCCCCCCCCCCCCCCCCCCCCCCCCCCCCCCCCCCCCCCCCCCCCCCCCCCCCCCCCCCCCCCCCCCCCCCCCCCCCCCCCCCCCCCCCCCCCCCCCCCCCCCCCCCCCCCCCCCCCCCCCCCCCCCCCCCCCCCCCCCCCCCCCCCCCCCCCCCCCCCCCCCCCCCCCCCCCCCCCCCCCCCCCCCCCCCCCCCCCCCCCCCCCCCCCCCCCCCCCCCCCCCCCCCCCCCCCCCCCCCCCCCCCCCCCCCCCCCCCCCCCCCCCCCCCCCCCCCCCCCCCCCCCCCCCCCCCCCCCCCCCCCCCCCCCCCCCCCCCCCCCCCCCCCCCCCCCCCCCCCCCCCCCCCCCCCCCCCCCCCCCCCCCCCCCCCCCCCCCCCCCCCCCCCCCCCCCCCCCCCCCCCCCCCCCCCCCCCCCCCCCCCCCCCCCCCCCCCCCCCCCCCCCCCCCCCCCCCCCCCCCCCCCCCCCCCCCCCCCCCCCCCCCCCCCCCCCCCCCCCCCCCCCCCCCCCCCCCCCCCCCCCCCCCCCCCCCCCCCCCCCCCCCCCCCCCCCCCCCCCCCCCCCCCCCCCCCCCCCCCCCCCCCCCCCCCCCCCCCCCCCCCCCCCCCCCCCCCCCCCCCCCCCCCCCCCCCCCCCCCCCCCCCCCCCCCCCCCCCCCCCCCCCCCCCCCCCCCCCCCCCCCCCCCCCCCCCCCCCCCCCCCCCCCCCCCCCCCCCCCCCCCCCCCCCCCCCCCCCCCCCCCCCCCCCCCCCCCCCCCCCCCCCCCCCCCCCCCCCCCCCCCCCCCCCCCCCCCCCCCCCCCCCCCCCCCCCCCCCCCCCCCCCCCCCCCCCCCCCCCCCCCCCCCCCCCCCCCCCCCCCCCCCCCCCCCCCCCCCCCCCCCCCCCCCCCCCCCCCCCCCCCCCCCCCCCCCCCCCCCCCCCCCCCCCCCCCCCCCCCCCCCCCCCCCCCCCCCCCCCCCCCCCCCCCCCCCCCCCCCCCCCCCCCCCCCCCCCCCCCCCCCCCCCCCCCCCCCCCCCCCCCCCCCCCCCCCCCCCCCCCCCCCCCCCCCCCCCCCCCCCCCCCCCCCCCCCCCCCCCCCCCCCCCCCCCCCCCCCCCCCCCCCCCCCCCCCCCCCCCCCCCCCCCCCCCCCCCCCCCCCCCCCCCCCCCCCCCCCCCCCCCCCCCCCCCCCCCCCCCCCCCCCCCCCCCCCCCCCCCCCCCCCCCCCCCCNTTGTGGTCCAAAATAAGTGATTTTTTCAGATTTCAAGAATGAATTAATTATTTTTTTCCTACATTGTCCTTGGAGTAAATAGTGTTGGAATATGTGTTAGGAGTGTTTATGTGAGATAGTAAAGGTTAATATGGTCAATTCCATTGCTAATTAATGTTAAAAGATGGATTTCTTAATCTGTGTGAAAACATCCAAAAAATCACTTATTTTGGACCGGAGGGAGTAATTAATTATTAATTGGTAAGATAAAAACAATAACTACTAACATACTTTGCAACAACAACACATCCGGTGAGTTCCCATAGGTGGGGTCTGGGGAGGGTAAGACGTACGCAGCCTTACCCCTACCGTGGAAGGGCCAAGAGGCAATTTCCGATAGACCTTTGGCTAAAGAAAGACCGAAAAGAGATAATGACAACAAGTAGTAACAGCACAAGATAAAAATAAGAACGAAACCAAGATAGCAGTGGAATGTAAAATTAAATTAAACTAACATACTTTCAAAGATTAAAATTAAATAGTAATGTAAAATATGTACATAACTTAAATCCTACTTCTAATAGCTAGGAGTACTAAATGTAAATAAAAGATGAAGAGTACGTAGAAACCCTGAGGGGTAGCTCAACTGATAAAGGCCTGAGGACAAAGTTCGTCGGGTCGCCAGTTCGAGCCCCCGCAGGGCCACTGGAGGCATTACAAACCGGCCGCGTCTCCAGGACCCCGTGGAACTATCCGTGGTGCACGCATTGAAACAGCGGGTCCCGGTGGATACAGCTAGTCGGGCTCGCAAAGCGATGCCCGGAAACCACGGTTAAAAAAAAAAAAAAAGAGTACGTAGAAAGAAGAAAAAATTTGAGTTGGGAGGTGTGGGGGCACAAGAGAAACTATGTATGGATCAATGACAAGTAATATTCCCATGCAAAAAATGCAAAAAAGGAAGCTTTTAACTTTGAGTTGAAATCTAACTTTGTTGTCCCATGTAGAGGAGCAAAACCCTTGAAAATCTAGTTCCATTTACAACAGGTTTGTTGTACGTAAAAGCAAACCATATAGTTACTCTCCAATCAAATCCCCTTAGCTTAAAGCCAAACTAGATATCTAGCTAGAGTTTGAGTGGCAAATGGCTCAAAAGCTGTTTCCAAACCTGTAGAAAAACCAAAAACTTCTCTCTCTTTTTCTTGACCCCATTTTGTCAGTTTTTTTTTTGGGATATTCTTTTCAACCCTTCCTCTCAACATTACATAAAAAGATCATTAAGACTATCACTTAGTCTCTCACTTACAAGAAAAAAAAAAATTAAACATAGCACAAGGAAAAGGCACAAGAAAATTAGTTAGTTTGACGCTCGTAATCTGAAAAGGTTCACATAAACTGAAACGGAGGATGTACTAAAATCCATTATTATTAAGCCCTTCTGTGCCTCTATTACTTCCATTGCCAAGTCCAAGTCCATGTCCTATTGGTGCACCAATGCAAGTGTAATTGTTACTACCATCAGGTAAAGTTGATGATCCCATGAAGTTATTTGGAGTTGATGAGTGTGAGTTTCCCGAAAGAACATGGCCAACAAAGTAATCGTTTGAATGACCGGTTGGATATTGAGAAGAAAAGGAGAGGAGACGCGGGGGAGAAGGGTACATGTAGGGTGGTTGATGAGGTGGTTGTGGTGGTTGTCCTGGTGGCAAGAGGGTGGTAGAGTTGCCGGAAAATAATCTTGTTGGATAAACTGGTGGTGGTTGTGGTCTATATGAGAGTGTTGGATCACCTATATTTCCTGCTTGATGATGATAACCTCCGGCTACATGAGGAATTGGCTGGCAACTGCACCAAAAATAAACAATATTAGTACCAAATAAGTTAGAATCGGCTATATAATTTCTCATTAATTATGTTTCTCCGTTTTAATTCATCTTAAGCCAATACTAAACTGTATACAAGAATAAACAATAACAAACCAAGTGTAATCCCACAGGTGGGGTCTGGGAAGGGTAATGTGTATGCAGACTTTATGGGTCTATCGGAAACAGCCTCTCTGCCCCTATCGGGGCAGGGGTAAGGTGTGCGTACACATTACCCTCCCCAGATCCCACTATGTGGGGTTTTACTGGGTAGTTGTTGTTGTTGTACATAACCAAAGAAAAAGTCATTAAAATAACCGTGTATATCAAGCTTATTCAAAGAGAGGCAAAAACATAAGTATTTTCTTTCTTTTCATTTTATATGATGCTATATGATAGGAAACATAATTTAAGAAACAAAGAGTCTTTTAACATATAACAGAATTATATATATTCGAATTTGTGATCTTAAACGTATCATAATATTTTTATGAAAAAAAATATATGATGTTATTAGAGGTCAGAGGAGAAGTTTAAATTTAAAATATCAAATTAAAAAAGTGTCATTTCTTTAAAACCATATTACAAAAAATACCATAAAAAGGGAAAGAGTTCAGTAGAGGAATGTACACACCCTAAGTGAGGAGGAGCAATTAGGTTATCGTTATTGAAGACGAGCTGACGAGCCCGGTTCAGAGTTTCTGTCTCCCTCTCTGTTCCCAACTCAAAACACAACAAAAATCAAAATCAAAATCAAAATCAAATCATAGAATATATGAATGAATGAACCCTTACCAAGAATATTATATATTCCCCCCAACCAACTGTTACTACTTTTGTTATGAAAACAAGATTGACATGACTACGCCTCTTTGCAAAATCATTGGCCAATACTGTTATCCTCAAATTTATAACCCAAAATATTTTATTTTTTTTCTAAAAAAACATTAAAAAAATACTCCTTCGCTTATGTAATTCATATTTTCTCAAAACCTATCTTGTTTTCCTTTTTTGCTTTATTTTTGTAATAAAAAGGAAAAAAAGCTAAAGATTTTCGTATGAGTTTAAGTTGTATAAATAGTTGCGTAAGAAATTTTTATATTATCAGATCAACTTGATATATTTTACTATTTGTAGCAGGTAACTCGTCTTATTTTTATTTATCGAATAAAGTGAAAAGAGAAGTGTTAACCTTGGCGGTGGCGGTTCATATGTCCCCCAAGAGCTTGAGATTTGCAGAACTTGAGGGAACAAAACCTACATTCATAGACTTTACCACACTCTTCTTTTCCTTCTTTAGCGCCGTTTTTCTTTTTCCTATATCCTGCTGCAAATGTACCATTTGTAGAAATTTTGATGAGACCAATCAACAATAAATATATTTTCAATTTCTTTACTAGGGTTTTACTTTGTAAAGTGAGAAAAAAAATTGCTACATAAATACACAAAGTTATTTCTTGCTAAAAGAAAGTGAAAAATAAGAGTTGCGTTAATAGATTAAACAAAGCTAGCAGCTTGCATGAAGTTTTTTGGTTTCATTTTTTCTCACTATAGAAAAGCAAAAAAAAAAAAAAAAAAAAGGGAGGAAAAATAAAGCTTGAATTTTTTTTCATATTTTTCTCAAACTAAATTGTAGGTTTTGAAGGCATGTTCTTGAGCTTCTGTTTTAAAAGAGAAAATCAAACGAAAGTGAAAATAGTAAGAGTTTCAGTAATAGATAAAACAAGCTAGAACCTAGCTCACGAAATAGAAAGGCAAAAGAATTGGTGGAAAAAGTTCGAAAATTTTCAGCTCTTGTTTTTTTCTTTCCCAAACTAAATTGAAGGTAGCAAAGAAAAAAGTTTTTTTTTCTCTCAACAACAACAACAACAACAACTCAGTAAAACCCAACAAGTGGGGTCGGAGGAGGGTAGTGTGTACGCAAACCTTACCCTTACTCGAGAGAGTAGAGGCTGTTTCCGATAGACCCTCGGCTCAAGAAGACGGAAAAGAGATAAAAAAGAAAAGAGTACTATTTATTTAATATGGAGAAAGTGAAGTACCATTAAATGAAGAGCTACCTTCAATAACTTGTTTACCATCTCTACAAAAGTCTTCAGGTAAGTTGTTGAGGTCAAGAGGGTTTCTTTCAGGACTCCTGAAAAACATAAAACAAAAAAAAAACAATATAAGAAACATAAAAAGTTAAAAAAATTGAAAGGATTTTAATTAAAGGAAGTAGAAGATAAGAGAAGAAGTATAGTAGTGGGGTGAACCCTACATTTTACAACCGACAGAGAAAGACAGAAAGGAAAGAAAATAATATGAGGTGAAGATAAAAACTTTCAGATAGATAACTAATACAAGTGAGTAAAGAAAACTTTGGCAAATTATAAGACTTTCAGTTTGGGACTGAAATGTTAAAGGCAGGGGGCTATAGTTGAGTTGAGTTGAGTGATGATGAAGAAAAAAGTGTGAAATTGGGTGGGGTTTGAAAGTTCTCTATCAGTTTTTTCTTGCCAAAATTCTCTCTCTTGAAATTGGACATACATATGCAGATCTAGAGGGCTCTCGTGACTTTTAAAGAGGAGATTATATATGGGAAAGGGACCACCCTAGGGAGTATAGTGGGATTAATGGAATCCCATGACCCTTAATAAGAAGTCTCGGGTTAGAGCTTTAAAGATAAAAAAAAACCTCTAGCAGGGAGCGTTTCCTTTTAATGGACCTGATATGTTATGAATGTGAATTAGTCGAGCCAATATGTTCGAAATAATGGGAGGGAAAATCAGAAATAACCATGTTTACAACTGATATTGAAAAATAGCCACAATTTCAAAAATAATCGAAATTTAGCATTTTTCATGCAAAAATTTAAAATCTGGACAAAAACACCCTTAAAAATCCGAAAAAATTACAGCATAATATGTTGGAGTTCAAATTTTTTACATATGAGATTCCAACATAATGTGCTGGAAGTTCATAATGTGTTGGAAGTTTATGCGCATGAGCTTCATAATCCAGCATATTATGCTGGAATTTTTCGTGTTTCAGCAAAATAGTGACTATCTTTCAATGACTTTGCAAACGCTAGCTATTTTTTAATTACCAGTTCGAAAACTGGCTAGCGCGCGCTATTTTCACCAAAATAATAGATGTTATATAAAGGCATCTTTATAATAATAGTCGGCTGAATTCATTGCTAATTATGTTCCTAGCCCGATGTACATAAATTATACATCGATTATATATAAATTACACATATATCATATTCTCTAACTATTTTTAGATTAAACTATTGGGTGAGTGATTAGATATTTAGTATAATTCTTATGTAAAAAGGTTGTGGGGGGAAGGGTTAATGGACAGGTGAGAATGGGATTTATCATTTGGTTAGGATAGAGGGGAGAGAGAATAGGAGAGGGACGTTGCCTTTGAGTTTTCTTGGCTTACATAAAGTAAAGCTAGGTTTATTGCCCTCGAACTAGTAGTCTCTCTTGTCCAATATCATCAATCAAATAATTGTTCATAACAACTAAAAGACGTAGTTTCATTATGGTTATCCCTAGTCGTCCAAGAGTAGTAAGTCTTGTTAGTGAGATAGTTCCTTTTTTAAGTTTTGCATTGGAATTTGCTAACTTAAATCCTTATTTTAATCACTCTTTTAAATGTTACAGCATCTTATCATTCAAGAATCTCAACTTTTACTGTGGTGGTGTTACCTTGCTTGCAAGTACCTAAACAATATTAATTTATCATGCTCGTGTCTACTCCTGATAGGTGCAAAGGTCTAGAGTAGTTTGATACCCAAAAAAAGATTTTATATAACTATTGGAGAATTTGCTCCATAAAAAATATAATTAAATAAATAAAAGTGAGTTTTCTATTAAAATTTAATCTTTTGTATGATATGATAATGCTACAACTCAATATGGTATTAAACTTTGGTATAGTAATTTTGTTTATAAAACCATTTCTTCTATACGTTCTATCATCACTATGAGCGCCTCTATTCACCATATAGTATATATACGCACAAATAAATTTTTTCGTAGTGTAATTTTTCAGTGAAAGGGTGTCAACTCACACCTCTTAGCCTAAGGTGGCTCCGCCACTGCCTTAACAAAAAGGAAATTTCTATGTACTTGGCCTACGATAGAAACCATGTTGGCACGTGAGGAGGTGTATGTGTATACGGTGGAAATCGGGGCTACCCGATTTATGTCTTCGATGGAAAAAGTGATACCACATCGGAAAACCAGGACGTTGAGTTTGGGGTCGAAGTTCCTTTCCAAGGTCATGGTCGATAACACTTACCGAGGTCAGAAGAAGGCATGCTTCGAGGTGATGTTGGTATGAGTCAGTAACGGAAAGAGCGAGATACCCGCAACGGGCCGGAGATCACGGTGTTGATTCGGAATGGATTGGTCTTCAACGGTTAAATAGTTGTCAAATATGATTTCCTACTATAATTAGAAGTGTACCTTATTTAGAACTCCCCTATTATATAAAGGAGGATCCCATCCATTTGTAACACATTGATCCACTATTAAAAAATCAGGTTTTAGCAACGGACAAATTCTGTAGCTAAATAGAAAAATTCGTCGCTAATCTCATTTAGCGACGGATTAGCAGCGGATTATCATAAAATTCTACTAGCTACGAGCGTTTTAACGACAGATTAGTGACGGCGTTCGTAGCTAATTCCAGTTTTTTTTGTAGTGATCCTTGCTCGTTGATAAGAAAATATACGCTTGTTATTCTCTAGCTATTTCACTTACCGCTCATCAGAGTTGTCTTATCATTTGTTATTCCCATTATCATACCTTGAGATCATCACAGTTCGAGGTCGAGATTTTACACACTGGTTTGATCTATTTTATTCTTTAATTTATCTATTTAATTCTTATTTATCAACTAGCATTGAATTAAATCACATATCCTTAAAACCACAATACAAGTTTAATTGTTACTCGAATTTTAGGGTAAACAGTTTGGCGTCCACCGTGGGGCTAAGGATAATTGTGACTGTTTCAGTGCTGATTCTGATAACACACGTTATTTTCACACTTGTTCTTGTCGAGTATTTTTGCTCTCAGGTTAAAGCATGTCAAACTCACAAAACGCACCCGTACATGGTGATGATGGTCTCAGATTTCACGGGGAAAATGACAATGTAATTGCTCCAGGAGTCGGGGTGCCACCGGCTAACCTCGGGAGAGCACTGGTCACCAATCCAGTTGATACCAGTTCGCACGTTACTCTAAATGCGGACCTAGGCGAGGACCCGGAAGGAAGTGTAAGCCGGGACGACTGATCTGGTGGCCAAGGTACACAGGGCAGAGAAGACGAGGGAGATAGCCTCCAGGTAATATTCAAGATGCTACAGGCTGAGCAAGCCGCTATTGCTCAATTGCAAAATCAACATAGGACTCCAAGTGTGGTCGAGCCAAAAATCACTCGTCGTACTGAGCTAGTACCAGAACGGTCGAATGGTAATGAATCAAGGACAGATCCTGCAATTATGAAAATGCTCGAGGAGCTCACCAAAAGAATTGAGATAGGGAGAAGAAAATTGAAGATAATGATAAAAAAGTAGAAACATACAACTCCCGAGTTGATCAGATACCAGGGACACCCCCGATCCTAAAGGGATTGGATTCGAAAAAGTTCGTGCATAAACCTTTTCCTCAGAGTGCGGCTCTGAAGCCCCATTCCTACGAAGTTCCGTATGCCGGATATACCTAAATACAATGGGACCACCGACTCTAATGAACACATCACTTCGTCCACATGCGGAATTGAAGGAAATGACTTAGATGATGATGAGATTGAGTCCGTTTTGTTAAAAAAATTTGGGGAAACTTTGTCAAAGGGAGAAATGATTTGGTATCACAACCCGCCACCAAATTCCATTGACTCATTTTCCATGTTAGCAGACTCTTTCGTGAAAGCACACGCCGAGGCCATAAAGATCGCAACAAGAAAATCGGACTTTTTAAAGATAAGACAAAGAGATAATGAAATGCTGAGGGAGTTTGCATCCCGATTTCAAATAGAAAGCATGGAGTTGCCACCGGTCATAGATGATTGGGCCGTTCAAGCTTTCACCCAAGGGTTGAACGAGTGGAGTTCGATAGCATCACGACAATTGAAAAAAAATTTGGTTGAGTATCCAGTTGTAACTTGGGCAGATGTGCACAATCGATATCAATCGAAGATCAGGGTCGAGGACGACCAATTAGGAGCCCCTTCCGATTCAGTACATCCAAACAGGTTGGCAGTTAAAACCTCGAGAGACGTCGATAGGGATCCAAGGTCAAACAGAGAATGACAACAACCATATACCGTGGATCGAAGGAACAATGGTTTAGGACGCAATCACTCCCGGAATGATCGAAGAAGCGATCGAGGGCAGAATTCTCGGGGACTTATGAGCAAGAGTGGTTTTAATAAGCCTGCAGATCCCGTGGGGGCACCTCGGTTATCGAAGTATAACTTTAGCATCGAAGCATCAGGCATTGTATCAACAATCGGAAGGATCAAAGATAGTAAGTGGCCCAGACCCATACAGACCGATCCTTCCCAAATAAACCCAAATTTGATGTGCAAGTATCATGGCACGTATGGTCACAAAATCGAGGATTGCGGACAACTGAGGGAAGAGGTAGCCCATCTATTCAATGAGGGTCATCTTCGAGAGTTCCTCAGTGATCGAGCTAAGAACCATTTCAGAGAAAGGGACGCTAGCAGGAAAAGTGAACACGAGGAACCCAAGCATGTCATTCATATGATCGTCGGTGGGGTCGATGTTCCACAGGGACCCATATTCAAACGCACTAAGGTGTTAATCACTAGGGAAAAACGAACCCGAGATTATGTTCCCGAAGGTTCCTTATCATTCAGCGACAAAGAAGCAGAAGGAAATTTCTCAGCCACACAAGGACGCTCTGGTAATTTCTATCTTATTANCAGGCGAGATATGGCGCTACTTGAGCTAACCGAGGACATGACTCTAGATAGAAGGGTGTGGAGGTTGAAGATTAGGGTAGAAGGTTAGTAGATAGTCGTGTATCTCCCTTTGTCTTCTCTAGCTCGATAGTATTAGCGCTAGTACGGTACCCTTTTTTTTCCTTAGTTTGCTAGATTCGCATGTCTCGTTTCGTTGTTACTTACCATTGGTATTTCCGTAGTTTGTTAGCAGTACTTCATTCATATTCTCGTCTGCTGCCTTGGAACTAGTTTTCTAAATATGTTATCTTGATACTACTTGTTATCAGTACCCCTTTCATATTATCTGTTGTTATCTCTGATTTAGTTTTCTAATTATTGTTTTGCTATTACTTGCTACCAGGGCTTCTCTCATCTTCTGATCGAAGAAGCGATCGAGGGCAGAATTCTCGGGGACTTATGAGCAAGAGTGGTTTTAATAAGCCTGCAGATCCCGTGGGGGCACCTCGGTTATCGAAGTATAACTTTAGCATCGAAGCATCAGGCATTGTATCAACA